CAGGGTTGATTTCCTTTAAGATTGACTGGTTTGACCTCCTAGCAGTCCAGGGGACTCTCCTCTCACCCTCTCCTAATTGTTAAACAGAGAGCTGCCTATCCTTGCAATATGGCTTCAGAATTAACAGAAAGAGCTTGGGGATATTATAGAACCTAGAAAAAAATGTACAGAAACTCTTCCTTTCCATCAGGAACCCACACACCAACCAGGGATGTATTGCTGAAATTGCACTTTGTCTTAACTCTACTGTTCATTCTTTTCTTTTTTGTGGTGGGACCCTCAAGTTCCAATCTACTCTTCCTCTCTGCACACCATGAGAAATCTTTCCTGCAGGATTACACAATTTTTCCCAATTACTCCAAAAAGTCATGATTGAGGAGAACAAAAATAATGTTTATATTTGTTTCATTTACCTTTAGACTTAATTTTAATTTTGCAGAGTTAATATCATCACCTTAGAATTATGCTTTACATGCTCCCACATATTCAAGGTATCTTGGGGGCCATGCCCAAGGAATTTGGAGGCTGCACGTGGCCCTAGGAGCCTCAGTTCACTCAAATCTATTTTATTGCAAACAAGATGCAAAGTCTCTTGTTTTACCATCTGTATCTTTAGGTTCCCCCCCCCCCCACACACACACATAGGGAAAATGCTTTAATAAAACTGTCCCTTTCCATGCTCTGGGATATCTTATCTGGCTGATGTTTAAAAAAAAAAGCTAAACAGAGTTAGACCTAATTAGCAGTGGACAGGACACCACCAGGAAATCCAGGAACTTGTCAAAAATATCCTGGAAGAAGGCAAGGGCAACCACTTTTAAGTAGTTGCCAGGAACACCGCATGGACATATCCATCAAGTCGCCAAGAGCTGAGTTTGACTAGAAGGATTCTTAATTCTTACTTTTCTACTATGTTAAAAATTGTAACTGAGTAAAAATTGAAGGTATCTAAAGGCTATCCCCAAACTTTTGGGGGCTGCACATGGCTTCTAAAACTTTAGACTGAATTGTTTAGTCATTAAGTCGTGTCCGACTCTTCGTGACCCCATGAACCATGTATACTCTTTCATCCTACCATGCACATCCTGAGCGTTTTTTCATAGGAAAAGCGTAGTATTCAAGCCCCCTTTCTACCCTCTTCTGTTCTGCAACAGACCACATGTCCCAAATGCCAGAAGCATGTTTGGATGTTAGGAGAAAGCACATCCCCCATTTATGTCCTGCCTTCAGCCCTCAGAGGCACTCTGCTCTGGAGCACAGTTGTAGCTAAAACAGACCGGTCTCCTGACCTTACAGCGGGATTAGTGTGTGAAACAGCCAAAGTTTTTCACAGCTTGCCTTAGCATGACAGGGAACGTGACATCTGTGGGAAGCGTTCGCCAGGATCACAAGGCAAGCACATGCCGAGCAGCCGATAGCAATGACACATCCATGCACCCAAGAAGCAGATTTGTGCTCCCACAAATGGAGACGGCCACATTCATCAGCTGATCTGTGGCAGCTGTATGTGCGGCCAGCATGCGCAGACTGTAAATATGCATGTTCGCCTGGAGTGCACGGTCTTCATGGATTTATGAAGTTGGGCTGTGGCACAGTAGAATTTTGCTTCAAAATGTGCATTTCCACTTTGCCTTTAAAGCATTTTTCTCTCCCCAAAGAACTGGGGAATTGGAATCAAAAGCCTTTTGGATCCTGCATTGTGCCCCAAAAGGGGGCTTGTCACACCATGACAGAGGTCTGGAAGTGGATGTAGATATGATATTGGGGACTAATTCCTCCATCTGACACACGCCATAAACCAGAGAGCAAGCGCCTCCTCAGAGCTCAAGTAACTGAGCCAAGCTGCAGGCAGCTGAAGATCGTTCCCAGCCCCCAAGCATACCTGGTGGGAGGTTACAATAGTGCCAGTTTGACACTCCGGCTGCCTGATCCTTGCCATGGATCAAATGTGCAGCCGTTCTCAACAAGGTGCATGAGAAAATGAGGAGGTGGGGTTTTAGGGAGACACATGTAAACATGCTGGAGGCACGTGTGGGGCACACACTCAGGAGGAAGGGCATGCTGGGTGTAACTGGAGGAGCCCACTGGCATCCCTGGAGGGAATTTAGCCATGCACCTGTGGTGTGAAAAGTCGGGAGGATCAAGTGGGCCTAGGGCAGTGTTTCTCAACCTCAGCAACTTTAAGCTGTGTGGACGTCAACCCCCAGAATGCAGGG